CAACCCTGGTCACCAAGGTCAAACACTGGTGCAGGACAATAAATCGCGTATTTCACCCATGTACCCTAAATACCGCAACGCTAAAAGGAAACCGTCCAACCCAAGGACAATTATTTTCGGCAGCTTTCAGATCAAGTAAAACTTATTTATCGTAAGGAAATCCTGGGGAACCGCGTACAATATGAGAGGCAACCACTGGTAAGCCGACACGGGGCGTACGTGAACACTGCCCATGCTCTTGGGTCCGATCAGTGGTGCGTGACCCTTAAGGGATTTACGCGCGCAAAGGCGTTTACAGGTCGTCCTCTCAGCCAGCGGACCGGTATCGATCTCGGGCGGGAGGAGGGGGAGGGGGCGCGTTTGGGGGACGGTTATAAATAAACACATGCGGATTATGCGTGATAATCGAGAAAGGGGTATTGAGGGAAAAGGGGGGGGGGGTATGGCCCCAGGTGTGAAAGTAAATGCACAGCAGTACGGTGGAGTGGTGCGGCGGCGGCGCAGAGAGGAGCGGCAGCAGCTGCGAGCTATGCGGCGAGTTGAAAATTCGGCATGCTGCTGTATCGTCCACCCCGGCAGAAATGCATACCTATGCAATGCAATCTCCCTTTGCGCGACGAGCAGCGAGCGCAGCACACCTGGGCGCCACCACACCCCCTCCTGGAGAAACCGTACCGCTCGGGGGAGCCAAGAGGATTAAAGTCGCTGCTCCAGGCAGGCGGGGCGGGCGGGGCGAGTGGGGCGGGCGGGCGAGCCGAGGTCCACGAGCGGGACGCAAATGAAAATTTAAAAATATCGCTCCGTAAAGCGGCGAGGGTCTTAATTCTGCATGGCGCGCCGCGCTCCCCAGCCCGGCATTCCAGATCTGGAACTCTCCAGGTCCGCGCGTCCATATCCGGCAGCGACATCTGCTCCCAGCTGCGCCCCAAGTGAACCCGCGCGCGAAGATGCAAGAAGTACCTCGCCAAAAGTGTACACTGCACTCGAAGAACAAAGGTGTAATATATACCTTCCAACGGTGCTGTAATTGCAGTAGTGCCTTTGTAAAGGCACTAAAATTGATGGAAATAGCTGGATAGCGCCTTTGTAAAGACACGTTTTCACTAACGCCTCTAAATTGGAAGTAGATAGCACCTTTACTTTTCCACCGAGTGTCATGACTACAGTAAGAGCTACTGATTGCAATTGCAACAATAATGATAGCGACTTAGGCAGCGGCGGGTGGTGAGTCAGCAGGCAGGCATGATAACGCCGCCGATCACAACTTCTTTTTATTTTTCTATTCCCGCAGTTCATTCTTCTCGTCTCCCACTTTTTTCTTTGCCCGCCTCCTCGTCGCTGAAGCGAGTTCGTCGTCCCGATATCGTCCCCTTCCTCCCATCCTTCACTGTCTGGTCTGCATCGAGCGTCAAAGCAGGGAGCGATAGACAAACGTGAATAGATGACCACGACGACCAACGGTCAGAGTGAACTGGACGGAGTACTGTCTAGGAAAACAAAACAGATATACGTGTGTCAGGGCTGTACCTGTACAGCGGTATTGCGGATTCGCCTACTTAATGGGTCATGGAACCTTAGGGTGTCGGGTTGGCAAACTCGCGCCACTGAATCACATGCAGAAAAACACCCGCTACAAAGATGACTTATTATTTTTGGCACTCGGCTTTAATCGCCATTACTTGCGTTACTTTGGTCTTTGTTCAAACAAGGAAAGTTTTCCGCATGACAAAACTACACCCATGTCTCTATGTTGAACTCTTGTAATCTCGCGAGGGTCCATTCCCCTTCTTTTGTATTGTTATTATTATTTCATGCTTTTACGGCTTTACTGAAGCCCGAGGGAACGCGCCGCGGGCCGCAGATCGCCTCGAGGATAGAGCTGCGCGGCCCCTTTTGTCGTTCGTAGCCTCGCGCCCCGCCCCGCCCCGCCCGCCGCGCCTCGCGAAATCAGGGCATGGGGCTCTTTGCAGCGGGGCTGCGGGGC